GCACAAGGCCTCAGTGGGCACATTAGCAAACGACCGTAATTACACCTCTGCCGCCTGCCGCTGCCGGGAAAGGCGGCAGCTCTGAAGGGGCGAGACCCGGCCCCCAGACCCACGAGCTGAGAGGTCGCCAGACACCGAGCCGCCCCCTCGAGTTACTGAGAGGGAAACCGAGGCAGCCACGGCTGGGCCAGGACTGCCGGCTTCCCGCGAGGAAGAGGCCGGGAAACGGGTCTACTTCCTGGGATTCTACAGGTGACAGAAGGGGTGGCCCGTGCCAAGTCAGCACGGCACAGTGCCCAGGTGCCGCCGGCCCCCGGCCCAGCTCCCGGCCAAGCCACAACCCAGCACCTGCCGCGAAGAGGCTACCAGGATGGCGCACCCCGGGGTGGGGACAGCTCCCGGACCGCGGCCTTGTGGAAGCGGGAAAGATGGAGCCCCGGCGGGGACTGGGCCTGCCTGTTACTCCCCAGCCCCTTCCGCACTGGGCAGGGCGGCAAGCAGAGGCGCCCAGGATGGGGTGGCCGGGCAGAGGCCCAGTTCTGGTCCCAGCTCTCCCCGGCGACCCAGACAAGGCCCCTCCCTCTCTGGGCCTCAGTGGCTTCAGGTGTTCGATGGGGAGCCTCCCGCCCACGGGCCGAGCAAAGCGTCAGCTGGACAGGCCGCACTTTGGAAGTGGGTGGCGCTGGGCAAACACGGGACACAGTCCCTGTCGTGGCCCAGGGCCGGAGCCCGGACCCCAGGCCGGCTGTGCCCGGGGCAGGCGGGGTGCTCTCCACCCTCCTGTCCAGCGGAAACCCGTGCACAGCCTGCCCCGTGCCCCCCCCAGGACGGGAGGCCACGCCGCAGTCCTCAGGCCTCTTGAGCCACGCTCAGCCCTTCGCCGACGTGCCGGGTCGGCGTTCGGACGGAGACCAGCGCCAGCCGCAGGCGTCCGGGAGCACCCAGCACCTGCAGTGTCGGCTCCAGGCGGGCCCCCGCAGGAGCGGTGCATGCTGGGGAGATTAGCCAAATGCAGAACCTTCCAGAAAAGGCCCTGGTGCTCACGTCATGCCTGCAGGAGGGCCTCGAGGCCACAGCCCCCAAGGAGAGCTACCTGGGGCCACCGCGGAGGGCGACCCGTCTCCTCCCCGGGGGCTTTGTCATGTCTGTCCCTGTCGCTGCTCCCTGGTCAGCCCCGGCCGACGACGGTTGGTCTGGTTCCTGTTTTGAGAAATCTGATTGCAAATGTCTTAGGCGGCGCGGGGGAGGGAGGGTGCTAACGGCCTTTTTAAAACCAAGACCAATTTTCCTCTCCCAGGCCTGCTGTGCAGTCAATCTGAAACCCACGGAGCAGGGTGCGAGCAGGGGTGGCCGGCCAACACCGCAGGGCACCCCGGGCAGCTGGGGCTCAGCTGCCACACCTGCGCCCCGCGCCAGGGACCGCGGCCACGGCGCAGCCGCGACACTCGCTTTGCACCTTCCACATTTCACAAAGCCAGAAACGGGAAGGGACTTGCCCAGTGTCACATGACAAGGCCTTGTCCCCAGCCGCCGGGCACACAGGAGTCATCGCCGGGATGGGGACCCTGGTGGCTGTACTGAACGCCGGCCCCCAGGTCCCAGCTCGGGCCAGCGCAGGGGGCAAAATGCAGAGAGAGCAGCCGGAACCCCTGGGCTGCTGGCCGGGTGCCACCCTGGGTGACCTGGGTGACACGGGGCGGGCCACCCACTCACGGGGCTCCGGCCTCTCCACCTGTTCCACGGGGCCTGGGCGGCTCGCTCGGTGGGAAAACACTGCCAGCCCTAAAGCGCTGGACGAGCCCCGGCCACCATTCCCACCCTGGGCACTTCTCCATCCACATCCTGGCCCTTTAAACTCTGCCACCAGGGGCAATGACATCACGGAGAGGTGGCAGCCGAGGTCCAGCTGCTGCAGGTGTGCTGGGCTGTCCCTGGGTCATCAGCACCCCCAGGGCCCCCAGGCAGGGCCCCCACAGGAGACACGCCGCGGGGGTCGGGGCACACACGTCGCCCCCACCCGAGAGCAGCCTGGGGGTGGGGGCGGTCGCTGCACGCGCCACGCCCGGCCGCCCCAGGACAGCGAGCCCACCCACCGGAGCGCGGGGCGAGAGCCCCAAGACCGCACGACCCCGGAACCTCGCACGGCGGGGGAGCGGGCTGGCAGTGCCGGAATCCCGAGGGGGCGCTGGGGGCAGGGGCGGCCGAGGAAGAGGAGGATGGCGCTGGGGGTGGGAGTCCCGGAGTGGGGCGCTCCGGCGCGCGGGGCGGGGGGCGCCGGGGTCACGCGGGCCGGCGCCCGGGCAGCGGGCCGCGCGGCCGCCTCACCTGGGCTCGGGCAGCAGGATCTTCTTGCTGGCGCGCGCCGCCGGCGTGGCCTTGCTCTTCTCCATGGCCATCAGGTAGCTCACGTCGGCCAGCACCGCCTCCAGGTCCGCCATCTTGGCGGCGGCGGCGCTGCCTCCTCCCGCCGCCGCCGCTCGCTCGGCTCGGCCCGGCCCGGCCGCGGCTCGCTCGGCCTCGGGCGCCGCCGCCGCCGCCGCCGCCGCCCGCCCGGCCCCGCTGGGCGCCCGCGGCTCCGCTGGCCGCGCTCACAGGCGGCGCCGCCCCATGGCCCCGGCTCGCGCTGCGCTCCCGCCGGGACTGCAGTCGGGGCGCCGCCGCCGCCGCCGCCGCCGCCGCCGCCGCCCGCGCCCCGGAGCCGCCGCCGCCGCCGCCTCCGGCCCCGCCTGCCGCGCACAGCGCCAGCGAGCCCGCGAGGGGCCGAGCCGGGCGGCCGGCGGCGCCCCCTGCAGGCCGCGCGGGCCACCCCGCGCCCACGCCCCGGCCGGACGTCGGCCGTGCGTCCCGGACCCCGGGCCTGGGCCGGCAGCCTCCAGTCGCGGCCCGGGATCCCACCCTCCAGAACCAGAGCTCGGCCGAGACCCCGGGCCAGGGCCGGGACTCCGCCCGAGACCCCCGAGCCGACTTCAGAACGGGATCCCAGACCCTGCTGTAACCCGGCACCTGATTCCAAAAAGGACCCCAGACTCGGCCACAGCCCTGGGGCCCCAAGCGCTGGCCCCAGGTGCCCAGCAGGACTCCCTAAGGAGGTTTGAGATCTTGGCCTTGGGACCTCCCCGGTTAGCAGCTCCAGGCCTGGACTTGGACCCGGGTTGGACTCAGAGCCCAGTCGGTCATCGAGCCACCAGGAAGGTGACCTCTGCCGTCACACCCCAGGCTCCTCCAGCACCCACCCCTGCCCCAGGGGCCGCTTTGGGATGATTGCACAACACGGGGCCAACTCTCCCATCCTGGGGGGGGTGGGGGCACAGGGTCTCAGTGTGCCTGGCAGCCCCCACAACTGGGAGCCACCCACAACGGGAAAGCCAGCGTCTCAAGGCACAGCCCCAGGCCTGACAGATCCCCTCTCTGGAGCCCCCGCCCCGGTTCCCACCCCAGCAGAGGGCACACTCAGCCCAGGTCCTCATGCCGGGTCCTGAACCAGAACCAGGAGCCCTCCGCGAAGCAGGGCCCCCATGCACTTCGGGGCCACCTTCCCGGGTCAGCACAAACGGCGAGGCCCCTGCTCCGCGGGGACTCTGCCGCCCACCCAGATACCCGTCAGACCCTCCGGTTTCTTTTCCTTGATCCCTCCCTCTCCCCTCCCCTAACCTCTCCTCACACCCTCCTGTCTGGCCCCCCCGAGAACCTTCTGGAACCTGTCCATTTCTCAGGATCTGCTGGGCCCACTCAGGACTGGGCCGCCTCTGCCCAAAGCACCACAGGACCAGACGCCCTGACCTGCAAGGGGGGTCCCTGCCCCTCTCAGCTTGTTCAGCCCCCACCCTCGGTGTCGGGTGTCCCCCACCCCCCACCCATCCCTTCTCACCCCCCGCGCCCCTGCTCAGCCTTGAGCCTGGAACCCTCTGGGTGCCTTCCTCCCTCACCAACTCCTGCTTGCCCTCTAATGCCACTTCCTCCAGGCAGCCTTCCTGGACTCCTCCCACCCAGGAGAGCCTATTCCCTTGGTCGGGAAGCATCGTCTTGTTATGTTTTTATTTATGTATTTGAAAGGCAGAGCTACAGAGGGAGATGGAGAGACAGAGAATCTCCCTCTGCTGGTTCAATTCCCCAGATGGCCACAATAATGGAGGCTGGGCCAAGCGCAAACCAGGAGTCTGGAACTCGATTAGGGTCCCCCACGTGGGTGCAGGGGCCCAGGCACTTGGTCCATCTTCCGCTGCTTTCTCAGGTGCACTAGCAGGGAGCCGGATCGGAAGTGGAGCAGCCAGGACTCAAACGGGCGCCCCGCTAAGGGACGCTGGTGTTGCAAGCAGTGGCTTAACCGCTGTGCCAGCGCCAGCCCCGCGCCACACTTCTCAGGGTCCAGTGAGGCTTTCGGACCCATCGGTGTCCTGGAAATGCAGAGGCGTGGGGGGAACACCCACTGTCTCCCACGGTCACCAAGGCTCCTGGCTCAGCTCTTGCCACAGTGCCCACCAGGGGACCTGACGCAGAGGGCGTCCGTCGACAAGTGCCGGGAGACTGTATGAATGGGAGACTGAGCGGCCGGGCTCTCGCGGCGCATGGCATCTGGGGCCTCTGCCCACCGCCCTGCCCGCCTCTTCGCACTGAGTGCAGCCACAGGCTGGCCTGGATTTATCTGGGACAGCCTCTGCTTAAAAAATCCTGCCTGACGAACACGTCAGTCCAGGATCTGCATGTGGGTTCTGGAACACCCGCCGTCCTGCCCCCACCCATCTGCAGCCCCCGGCCAGGTCTGGAGCTGGGGTCCCTCCAGGGGCCTTCTCTCCAGGACACCCCTCCTTGGTTCCTGGGATCCGAGAAGGTGGTTTCTGGAAGCCCCAGGCTGTTGATGGAGGCCCTGGCTGGGGGGCTGGGGGGGGGGGCAGGAGGGCTGGTTTTGGGGACGGTGCTGCCCTCTGGTGGCCGTGGGAAGGCTGATTAAAAACGTGACCTTTTCGGGCCAGCTTCCCTCAGCAAACCTGTCTGGTGCCCAGATCCGCCGGGCTACAGCCAGGATGCCGGGAGCGCCCAGGGGAGGGGAACGCGTCCCGCCCAGCTGGCAGGCCCACACTGCTCCTTGGCATGTGTGCCGGTGACTAATGAGTGTTGCAAACTCCAGTGCGTCCCACACGGAGCTCCTGCTCCCACCAGCCAGCCCCGGGCCGAGCCGCTTCCCTCCAAGCTCGCCCTGACAGTCGCCCCAGGAGTCCTCCTGGGCCCCTCGCCCCCCACCTCCGCGCGTGCGCACACACACCTGCTGTCCGAGGTCTGGCGGCACCTGGTGAGTCTACCCTGAGTCCTCCCATTAAGCCCTGGCCTCCCGCCTGGGGGCCGGCACCAGCCCCTCCCAGAGCTTCCACAAGCCCAGCGGAAAGCCCCCTGCACTTAGGACAAAGCCCACCGCCTGCCTGTGGCCCTGAGTCTCCAGCCCCTCTGGTGTTCACTAGAACAAGGCAAGTCCATTCCTCCCTCTGGGTCACGTGCTTGCCCTCCCTTGGGCTGCAAGGGCTCAGCTTGCATGGTCACCGCTGCATCCCTCACCCCCCAGCAGGAGGCCTGGCCCAACGTCAGGGCTGCAAAGGCAGAGGGGGCAGCTCGCAGGGGCAGGTGCGCCTGAATGTGAGTGTGTGTGCCTGGGCGGGCGAGTGCTGCCCTCGCCTCTCCATCTCGGCCCTGGACTTTGGAGGCGCGGGAGGCGGGGCTTCGGGGCTCCCCTGGTTTCAGCAGGTGCCTGGCGGATAGGGGCGGAGGAGTTCCTGCCTAGGGCGGGGACCAACACCCCTGTCTCTGCTGCCGGGTGCCCAGGCAGTGCCAGGCTCCACACATTCGCCAATGTTTGCCAGGCACTGGGGCTTGGCCTTCGGGGACCCAACACAGGAAGAGACACAGTGAGCCCCCCGGGGGGCGCACCAGATGTGCTACCAGGGGAATGTCCACTGCGATCTCGCCGCGCGCTGGGCACTGCTCTCGGCGCTCCGTCGGTCCCCCCTGAAGTTTGCGGCCAGGGTGAGCCGCAGGAGCCCGGAGCCTCTGCAGGCGGTCAGCGAAATGCCAGAGCCAGGGCCAGGGGAAAGGAGGAGAGCGGCTGTGTGAGGGGCTGGGAGAACTTTCTGGGCGCGTGCCGCCGCAAGGGCTGAGGCCCGAGGAAGAAGTGGGTGCTTCCTGCTCAGCGCAAGCACCTTGGCTGGGTTTTTAGCCGGCGGGCCCCAGCTCACGGCCCTGCTAGGGCCTCACGACCCCGGCTCCGCACAGGAGCAGCGCCTCGCCCTAGAACCCCCCCGGAAGGTCACGCTGGCCTGCGCGGACCCGGCCCCAGGCGCCTTTCCGGCTCTGAGGTTTCTCCCGGAGGCGGAGCCCGCAGCTGCCAATCCCGCTTCGCCCCGCCCCGCCCCATCCCGGGCCCGCCCCGGAGCCCGGCCCGGCGCGCATGCGTCGGTGCGTCCGCCGCGCGGCCTGGCCCCGGGACCCGCTATGCTGACAGCGGTCGTGGTCTGGGCCTGGCCGTGTCCGGCCCACGGCCTCGTGGTCCCCGCCGGGCCCCCGCCGTGACCGCCTGTGCTTGCCCTGTGGGGGGGCAGGGGAGCTGGGCCCCAGCGCCGCCTCCTCCGGCCCTGCTGGGCCCCCTGGGCAGGTTGCTCTGCCTGAGATGAGGCGCGTGGGCGTTGCGCGAGGAGCGGTCAGCCGGTGGCCGGTGGCCGGTGGCTGCGCCTCGTCTTCTCTTCGTGCCTTTTCCGGGATGTTTCTCCCCGCGCCCAGGGAGCAGCTGGACCCCCTGCGCCCTGGCGGTCGCGCAGCCAGGGGCTCCCGGACTCCCCTCCCCCCAGGAACTGCCTGAGTCACTCGCAGGACCCCCTAACCTTCCCGCCACGCGCGTGGCAGACCGAGGAGGAGCCCAGCCCCGGCCCTGTGGCCCCCGGGGGCCTGCGCCAGCGGGCGGGAGCGCGCTCTCGGCCTTCCAAACACATCTTTAGAAAATAGCCGGAAACTGAGCTTGGCCCCACTCCTGGGCAGGTGCGGCCAGCTCGCCCCTGCGTGACCGTGCGCCGCGGCCCGTCGTGAGGATTCTGGGTCGACACAGGGCGGCCGGCACCCGGGGAGGGGCCGTGTGCGGACGGCAGCTCTGGCACGCACGTGTGGCCATTTGCACTGTTCTCACAGACACACGCACGCACGCCCCCAAAGCAGAAAAGGTTTCGTTTTTGTTTTTAAAGCCTTTTTATTTAAAAACAAAAACAAAAAACCAAAACCCAAATCAAAATATTTCCCACTGGAGGCTATTTTTTTTCATCTTTTTAAAAATTTTATTACACAAATATCTCCCATTCCCACGTGTCAGAGGAAGGATGTCCTTGCTCTAAAACCCACAGTGGAGAACTCTTAGAAAACAAAACCAAGCCCAGCCAGCGCCCTCCTGCCCGGTCCAAGTGACCCGCGCGGCCGCCAGGCCGCAGCCCCTGCTAGACGCTTACATTTAATTTAAAGTTTTAGCACGACATTGGAGATCGACTCTAAATCAGCAACAAAAAATAGAGATATTTACAATATTTCTCCGAAAAACAAAAAACACAACCAAACCCTTTAAACATAGTGACTTTAGGAGTTTTATTTATGGAGCAGTTATTTTTAATCACCAAGTGATTTTATATTATATATATATAAATTTTCTTCCTTTCCTTTGTGGTTTTTCGCCCCGGTGCTGGACAGATGGAGGCAGGGCCGGGTCCTGCAGTCTGAGGGTGGCCTCTCCCGGCAGGGCCGCGCGGGGCAGCGCCAGGCTCTGCTGTCCCCAGAGACACTTCTCTTCCTCCGCCTCTAAAATCCAGTTCCCCCTCACAGTCCCAAAGAAAAGCCAAGCCCAGCGAGGGCATCGGGCCGTCGGCCGCCGCTCCTGGGCTCCCTTTTCCGTGGGCCAATTTACGTGCACGGTAAAAATGCTTGTTTTGCCAAACCCCCAAACAAACATTAAAAACCAAAACCCAAAACAAAGCATCAGCTTGGAATTCCTGTGGCTGCAATGTCCCGAAGTCAGAGGCACTCTCCCGGCACAATCCCTGCTGAGGGGGTCTCTCCACCTCCCTTATAAAAAGACAAGGAAACAAAACAGTCATATTTGCAGTATTTTCCACAGGAGCAACCAAAAAAAGGCAGGAAGCTTCCACGTACGGGTCCTTAGCGGTAATATCAGTAAGGTTTTGCTCGATACCCAGGGTTCTTTGCAGAGAAGTCCCCTAACTGAGGCACTCTGGAATAAGTCACTGGCATTTCCTCAAAGCTCCAGCCCCGAGTGCCGGGGCCTGGAGGCCGACAGACGGGCGGAGGGTCACGGGAGCAGACATCAGCAGATCCGAAGAAACAGACACAACACCACCCCCACCAGGGCCCAGGCTCCTGAGGCCGGTTAATGCCAGTCAAAGCTGGGCCAGGTGGCAAAGAGGGTCTCTATTGCTTTGGAAGTGCAAGGGTGCAGTTGGCGTCTCTCCTCTGGGCGGCTCGCGCTTCAGGCCCCTGCACCTGGGCTCCGGCCCCTCCGGCCGCAGGGCTGGAGGAGGAAAGCCTGAGACTGGGCCACCGGGAAGGGGTCAGGAAGGCAGGGGCTGGAGGACGAGGCGGCGGGCGAGGTTGTGCTATCAGTGTCCTTGCAGGGAGCAGAGTGCAGATCCGCGGCTGTCCAGCTCCGCCCAGCATCCCCTCACACGTACTGACCACGAGATTCCCACCTTCCTTTCTTTTCTTTTTTTTAAAGTGCAAAAAGCTCTCTGCTGCCCTAGAGAGAGGATCTTTGGACAGGCCGTTGAATGCAAAGGGGGCAGCTGATGGGGCTTGACACAGGACGGTGGAGCGGGAGACAGCGCGCTCCCCCACCCTCCTCCACACACACGCACGACACTCAGCCACACACACAGAGGCACATGCACACCCCCTTCCACGGCGACAGAGGGCAGGTGACTGGCTTCTAAGCTGGACCCCCTGCCCCAGCGAGCCCACGGGCTCTGGGGGCTACGCTAAACCAGAGGCCTGGAGGAACCTGGCTGGCAGGCAGGTGGGGACGTGGCCCAGGCCTCTGCCTGCCCCATGCTGGGGGAGACAGGCTGCTCTCGGTGACACGCATCCTAGGGAAGCCCTATCCAGGCAGGGATGAGGACATGTGGGAAGGGCAGTCGGGGAGGTGGTGCCTGTCTCAGAATCTTCCCGGGCAGGGATGAACTGGGGGTGTCCCTGGGGTAGGCAGTTCCAGCTCCTCGAAAGAGCTTCAACCCCAGTAAGTGCAACAAGGACCTCACAGAGACTCGTGGGAAGCCTGGGCCGGGGCGGGTGGGAAACCTCATGGCGCGAAGGACATTGCGCTCAGGGAGGAGGACAGCGCAGACGCGGGCGCGAGGTCTCGGCCGCCTCCACAGCACCAGTGTGACCTGCTGGGCCTGGCGGTCCTGGGGCTGCCGCCCCTCCTGCAGAAGCCGGGAGAGTGACGGGAGAGACACGCACCGGACACCTCAAGGAGAACCTGGCCACGGAGGCTGGGCCGCTTTCTTCCCTGGAAGCTTGCTCAGGACCAGGCACTGCTGGGGACCACGGGTGGGGAGGAGGGGCCCAGGGCCCAGTGCAGATGAAGGCTGCACAAACACCCGCACTCAGAGCCTGGCCTCCTGACAGCCCGGGCTCTCCCCTCGGCTCCATCTGCGCCTCCCTGTTCCTTAGGAGGAAGAGGGGCAGGCAGGTCAGCCTCGTGTCCACCGCCCTCCCCGCCTGGCCTCCAGCGGAGGGGCTCAGGGGACAGGCGAGCAGAGAGGGAGTGTGACGCTGGCTTCAGAGCCCGTGCAGGGGCGGGGAGAGGCTCTCCTCGGTGGGCAGTCAGGGGACGATCGCCCCTGTCCCGTCGGCCGGGCGTCTAGCTGATCTTCTGTATCAGCTTCTCGTCTGACAGGCAGTAGAGGCTGTTGATGGACAGGTCTGAGATGAAGTGCTCGCAGGCTTTCCTAGTGATCTGCTTGCACCCGCGAAGGTCGATCAAGGTGACGTTGGCAATGCGCCGTAGGTAGATCAGGGTCTGGTCTGTCAACTTATTGCAACCTGTAGGGAAAGTGGCCGTGAGGAGACGGTCACACACACACTCACTCATACACACACACACACTCATACACACACACACACTCATACACAGACACTCTCACACACTCTCACACTCATACACACACACTCACACTCATACACACACACTCATACACACACACACTCCATACACACACTCACTCATACACTCACACACTCACACACATACACTCACAAGCCTTCCTCTGCCGTGCATCTCCCCCTCTTCTCTATGAAAGCCCTCTCAGTCCCACAGCTGCCTGGCTCCCAGAAGCCCCTGCTGCACGAACCCCAGCACCACGCTGCAGGCAGCACAGGGCTGTGAGGCCGGCCACGCTGCAGGCAGGTGGTGGTACGCACACACACCTGGCTCCAGTACTCAAGGACACGCCCCCACCCGTTCACACAGAGACTGAGGAACCGAGTTAACAGGGCTCAGTCCACAGGCCCAGTTCCAGCAGCCTACCTGCCATGTTGAGCTCTGTGAGGGAGTAGCGGGTGGAAGACCCGACGGCTGTGAGGAGGTTGGAGGACTGATCTGTAAGGTGGCTGCAGTGGCTGAGGTCGAGGCGAGACAGGAGGGGCATGTGGCGGATGATGAGGCGAAGCGTGGCGTCCGTGATGTCCAGGCCCGCCAGCCGGAAGTCAGTCATGTTCCGGAGCTTGCTGCGATTGTCCTGACCTGCAAGGGCAAGAAGAGAGCAAGATCAAAACTCTGAGTTCTCTCATGCGGCGCCGAAGCTGCAGGCGGCGGTGGCTGCTGGCTGGCCAGGCCCCCTTGAAGGGTTAAGCTGCACTGCCCACGCCCAGCCCTGCCTCCAGGGAGTGCGGCTGCGTGGGGGCAGTTCCTAGGGAACCAGACAAGTTCTCGCTCTTCCCTGCTGCTGGGCTGGGTATGCCCGGAATGCTCCTCCCCTCCCTCCACCCCTGCGCACCTCCAGACCATCACAGACAGCTTCTGACGCGTCACCTCAACCGTGAAGTCTTGAGACTTCCTCAGGCTGACACTCTCCGGGCCCCAAACTCCACTGACCCAAAAAATGCACTTACTCCTCTGTGGCAGGTAGTTACCTGCTCGCACAGTTAACCTGCGCTCGTCCACAGGCCAACATTCTGGTCTCATTTTGTTCTCTCCTAGGTTCCCATGGCATCACTTTGAAGACTGTCTGAAAACAAAGCTCCCCCAAGACCCGAAGCCAGGCCCATGGCATACCTGGTTTATCAGCGGGTGGAGTCAGCAAGTCCCGAATTTGAGGGTCCTTAATTCCTACTGCCCACCGGAGATCAAGGGTCCTGAGAAGGGGGCAGCTGGAGGTGCTGAGAGCAGAGACTGCAGACCAGGAGCAGCCTGCTAGGAGGAGGTCTTTCAGCCCTGGCAAACAGCAGCAGAGGCGGTCAGTGACACCCTGGCGCACAAAGCCTAACCCGCCAGCCATCGCCGCAGAGGAAATGGGAGACAGGGCCGTGCTCTGAGCTCCCAGTAACCAGGCTCTAGGATTCCTGTGCTGTGCTACACCGCATCTTCCCGCTCTGGGAGTAAACCCACTGCTTAGCTGCTGTCACAACAATGCAAAAGGGAGTGACTTCCCATCTTTCCAAGATCTTAAATGCCGACGGGAACAGGGCTTTCCAAAGCGCATGCCCAAGGCAGCCTCTGACTTGAGCTCCCTCTTGAGCGGTGACGCCGCAGCACCCGACCCCATTTCGATGGAGTCCAGTGCAGTGGCAGGCTCGGCGCTGTGGACGCCGTGGACACTGGCAGTCTGCAGAAAGGCAGCCCTGCCAACAACGCAGCTCCTAGAGCCGTCCCTGGGCCCATGGAAGGACAGCAGCAGGGTCCCCACCTACCTGGCAGCCTATTGACGAGCCACGTCAACTGCTTTTTGGAGATGTTGGTCCAACTGAGGTCGAGGCTAACTGGTTGCCTCTTGATGATGCCACTGAGAGCTTGTGGTACGATGGCCTTACACCTACTTAAGTCAATTTTCGTCCAAAGTCTCTTGTCGCAGCACCTGGGACAAGGGAGCAAACCAGCTGTCACTATAACTCGATGCCCCTGTCAACAGAGTTCCCAACACAGCTGCTCAAGCAGCTAAGCACTGGAGGGTCATTCTTCCTCTCCACATTCTCCTGCAAGTATGTAAGGACCACACCCTGTCGGTGTTTCAATCAGAGATGAGGTAGGCACTGTTGTCTCTACAGCGCTCAACACTCTGCAAACCTGTGTCAGGCAGTGTGTACAGAACTTGGCCAGGCACCGGTGCTGTGGCGTAGCCGATAAAGCTGCTGCCTGTAGTGCCGGCATCCCACACGGGTGCTGGTTCACGACCTGGCTGTTCCACTTCCGATCCAGCTCTCTGCTGTGGCCTGGGAAAGCTGTGAAGATGGCTCGAGTGCTTGGGCCCCTGCACCCACATGGGAGACCCGGAAGCAGCTCCTGGCTCCAGACTGGCCCAGCTCTGGCCATTGTGGCCATTTGGAGAGTGAACCAGTGGATGGAAGACCTCTCTCTACCTCTGCCTTTCAAATAAATAAATCTTAAAAAAAAAAAAAAAAAGTTCATCCTGATTAATTCTAGAGGGGATGGAAATACAACAGCTGTCAGGCACACGCAGCGCAACAGACGGTAACGTCTTCATCCGCTTAACAGGTGTGGCTCCTCCTGAGGCATCTAAGGGAGCATCTGAGGTTTCTGACTTCTCACTGCCTGCGGCCACCAGGCCTGTGCCCTGCTCTGGGCACTACTCACCCGGTTCACCCCACCTGAAGCCCACTCCTGGGGCAGCCAGAGTCTTCGCCTACCTCTAGAGCTTCTGCCTCAGTGCTACCTTGACATTTTTCCAGCCAGTCCAGGCCCAGAGTATGAGGGAGAAGCCTGATTTCCCACTGCAGCTCACAAACCCACAGGCCACAAACAGCACTGCGCCCTGAGGGCTTCCCTCTTACACTCTGCAGCCCCCACTCTGAGCCAGGCTGAGTCTGGCTGGCAGAGGGAGGAGACAGCACGCCATGGAGACCTACGCACCTCGGCCTCCAACCAAGGAGCAGAGCCAGCAGACCTACTAGTCCCAAAGAAAGAAACAGTAAGAATTTGGGTAGATCGCATATTAACTCAGATTTGGGAAGTAGAGTTGTGTTTGCAAGAATATTTGTATTTAGGGAGTGGAAAAATTTCACCAATGGCACTTACAATCTGCAGCAACGTCAAGTTGCTGGCCACAAAGCAAGGGCCCTTAAACCCAAGCGTGCATCTGAAGTTCCTGGAGGGGAGTTCCAGAAGCAGACCTTGGGCGCCCCTCAGGCTGAGTCACGAAGCCTGGGAGGGGCCTGGAGAACCTGCATTTTTAACAAGTTCCCAGGTGGATGCCTCTGGTCAGGATGCCACACTTTGACCCATACACAAGGGACATAGGCTTAACAGAAAACCAACCCCGCCCCACGGGAAGTTCTTTGCTCCTCACCACCAGGGATGGCTGCCCCATGTGTTCAACGTGCAACATGAGCAGAAATGTCAGGGCTGTTGAAGACCCCCAGGACTCAGGACGCTTCACAACTGCACCCTGCAGGAAAGGGATTCTGATCCAAGTTTGGGGGCTGAGCATCCGAACCGTGAGACCTTCACACTCCCACACACTCTCGCTGATGGAGAGGCTACTGAGGCAGGGGCTTAAGCAAGGTTGCCCACGTGACTGGGACACCACGGGCTCCTGACCATCACCTGCGGAGTGCAGCCACCTTGAGGACAAAGTTCCAGCCCTTGAGACTCTATATAAAGTTTTAGAACCAGTGGTACAAATCTACCCCCAAAATCTGTTTCCCTCCCCCAGCAGATTGGAAAGCACAGAGCAGGAGAGGAGGCGAGGGCCCGCGTTCCCCAAGGACGCCTGCAGGCACGGCTGGCCCCACCTTTAGAGGACCCGCAGTGTGGGGAACAGACTGGGTCACTGCGCTCCTCAGAGGATGTCACAAGCCTCCAACGTCAAGGTGCGTGCTGCTCTGGCATGGAAACCCACACCCCGAGTCCTGACCCCTGCATCCCTGCTCACCATTTATACCACGTCTTGCACACTCGCATACATTCACAAAGTTCTCTGCGGCTGAGGTAGCGGAAGACAGACATCCAGACCTCCCGCTGCATCCAGCTGTCGTCTCCGTCCTGAGCCCAACTGCCCCGGCCATTCAGCCTGGCTGCACCCCCCTCCTCTGCACTGTCATCTTCCTCCTCCTCCTCCTCTTCCTCCTCCTCTCCCCCCAGCCCCTCCTCATCCCCACGCTGGGGGGTGCGGGCTGGGCAGTGCTGCACTAGCACACGGGGGGAATGGCGCAGGTTGGCAGAGGAGGCCGTGATGGCCTGCAGCTTGGGCACAATGGATGTCCCGTGGAGCTCTTTGGTGGGCCTCTGCAGCGTGACAGTGAGGTACGATCCCCGGATCTTGGCTTTCTCAACTTCAGACAGCTCCTTTTTGCCGCTCGGATTGTTCTCCTTCTCCCGTACCATGGTGCGCTCTGTGGCCTGCAGCCGCAGCAACTGCCGCCTCTTGAAGCGCTCATCGCGGCTGGCACTGTGGTGGTCGCTGGGGCCAGCCCCAGGGGATGACCGAGTCACCATGCCCCGGGGGGACACCGGGTCATGGATGAGCTGCAGCATGGAAGTGGGTGAGTGAGGCGGGGGTGTGAGGGGCTCGTCGCAGCTCCGCAGGGGCCGCAGGACTTTGGCTTGTACGGCTTCTTCATCGCTCTCTTCCATTTTCCGTTTCTGCAGAACAGGCCCAGAAAAAGCAACATCAGTGCTGTCTTTCTCCCAAACCCTCTAAGCCAGGGATGGGAAACCTTTTTTCAGCCAAAGATCGTTCAGATATTTTGTAACATCATCTGCCGGCCACTTCAAAGCATGCACTTAAAAATCAGCCTGGGGGCCAGCACTGTGGTGCAGTGGGTAAAGGCACAGGCGCCTGTGGCGCCAGCATCCCACATGGGTGCCATTTCAGGTCCCAGCTGCTTCGCTTCTGATCCAGCCCTCTGCTGATGTGCCTGGGAAGGTAGTAGAGGATGGTCCAAATCCTTGGGACCCTGCCACCCATGTGCAAGACCCAGAGGAAGCGCCTGACTCATCGGCCCAGCTCTAGCCGTTGTGGCCTTTGGGGACTGAACCAGTGGATAGGAGGTGTCTCTGTAACTCAGCCTTTCAAATAAATAAATAAACCTTCAAAAAATTGTTACCCTGCTACAGATTTTTTGAATTTCAAGTCTGGCCTGTGGCTGACTTGGCAGGGCCAGCCCAAGTGATCGATCCCACAGGCCTTGTACAGCCCACGGGCCAAGCTTCCCCACCCCTGCAAACCAACAACAGGAGAGCTTCACTGTCTCAGGGCACTAGAGAAGACAGTCACTGCTACTGTGGGGCTGACCCCAGCCCTCGCAAACATCACAGAATGCTGAGTGTAAGCCGAACGTTCTCAAATGGGTCAATGGGAAACCAACTTGGGACGAAAGGTTTATATCCAAATACAGAGGAGTGAGATCCAAATTTGGGCCACCTGATTCCATAGCCTACCCCAGCCAACACTTGTCCCAATTTCTGGATTATAATTCCCTGGGCCAAATACTCTTTAGAGACCACAACTCTACCTCTATGTAATCTGGTCATTTTTAACCTGGTCTTTAATTTAGCTCTTCCACTCAACAGATGTTCCTCATTTTTTTTTTAAAGTTACATATTTATTTGACAGAGTTACAGAGGGAGAGGCAGAGAGAGGGAGAGAGATCTTCCATCTACTGGTTCACTCTCCAAATGGCTGCAACAGCCAGGACTGGGCCAAGTTGAAGTCAGGAGCTAGGAATTTCATGCAGGTCTCCCATATGAGTGGTACGGGCCCAAGTATTAGGGCTGTCCTCTGCTGCCTTCCCAGGCACATTAGCAAGGAGCTGGATTGGAAGTGGGTCAGCTGAGACGCAAATTAGCACTCTTGCTAGATGCTAGCATCGTCTTAGCCCACTGCACAATGGCAGCCCCAGGTGTGCCTCATGTTAGGGGTGTTAGAAAACCAGGGCACCCACTCTATTGAAACAGGAGGTCAGGGTTGCTAGCCCAGGCTTTTAGTCCCACCAGGCCTAAGCGGAACTCTGCCAGGCTCCCTGTAAGAGAGGAAGCAGAGAACCAGAGCTTCCCTGCAAGTGTCCCACCACAGAGGGGTCTGCTTAGGATGACAGAGGAACTACCATAGAGGACACAACCTGTCCTGGGGCACTTAATGTCAATCAGACAATGGCCCTTTCTTGGAGTTCGCCTTGACCATTCCTTGGCAAAGTCCAGTCAACATGGAACCATACTGGTAGTTCAGATCTTTCTTAATTTATTATTATTATTATTATTTTTATTTTTTATTTTTTATTTTTTTGACAGGCAGAGTGGACAGTGAGAGAGAGAGAGAGAGAAAGGTCTTCCTTTGCCGTTGGTTCGCCCTCCAATGGCCGCCGCAGCCGGTGCGCTGTGGCCGGCGCACCGCGCTAATCCGATGCCAGGAGCCAGGAGCCAGGTGCTTTTCCTGGTCTCCCATGGGGTGCAGGGCCCAAGCACCTGGGCCATCCTCCACTGTACTCCCTGGCCACAGCAGAGGGCTGGCCTGGAAGAGGGGCAACCGGGACAGATTCCGGCGCCCCGACCGGGACTAGAACCTGGTGTGCCGGCGCCGCTAGGCGGAGGATTAGCCTAGTGAGCTGCGGCGCGGGCCTTTATTATTATTTTTTAAAAGATTTATTTGGGAGGCTTGCACTGTGGCATAGCGGATAAAGTCACTGCCTACAATGCTGACATCCCATATGGGTGCCAGTTCAAGTCCCAGCTGCTCCACTTCCCATCCAGCTTCCTGCTAATGTGCCTGGGAAGGCAGCAGAAGATGGCCCAAGTCTTTGGGCCCCTGCACCCAATGTGGGAGACCAGATGAAGCTCCTGGCTCCTGGCTTCAGCCTGGCCCAGCCCTGGCTGTTGTGGCCGTCTGGGGAGTGAAAACCAATGGATGGAAGCTTGCTCTCTCTCATCAATCAAAAAACAAAAAACAAAAGAGGGAAAAGTTTAGCACTAGTAAGCTCCAGAATTCCTTGCCCTTGAATATATTTAGGGGCAGGTGTTTGACATAGCAGTTAAGATTCTGCTTGGGGTAGCTGTGTCCCAGATGTGGGTGCTGGCTCTGCTACTGATGCTAGGTTCCGGCTAATGGGCACCCTGGTGGGATCAGGTGATAGCTCAAATAGCCGAATTCCTAGTGCCCACGTGGGAGACTTAGATCTCCCATTCTCTGCCTCTAAAATAAAACAAAAATAAGAAAGATATTTAGACTAAAAAGTTGACTGCCTCAGCGCCCAACTGGGAAGAAATAAAAAGAAAAAAAACTCCTGTACCTACTCCCTCAGCCCTGTGAGGGTGTCTCCCTGAAGGACTGACATTAGGCCGGCTGCTCCCTCTGTGTGTGCCTTAGCTGGTCCTGCCTTGCCAGTCCGAGTAACCAGAATCCTCTTAGTCTGCTGACGTTACTGGCATCAACTGGGCTGGCAACTCTGGGACAAGGTCATGGTGCTAGTCCCCTCTAGGGGAGGGGCAGAGCTTTCTGGGAGGCCACAAGGAGAGACAAAAATGTGAACTTGCTTAACTGGAAACTCAGGCACACCACCACACTTCCTGGCCGCCTCAGGCTGGGCTGCCGCCTCCCACAGTCACATTCCTCAGGAGAGATCCTGCGGGCCCAACTGCCCCCCTCAGACTGCCCTGTTGTAGCTTCTTGCTTTTTAGAGCCCCAGAGCATGAAAACCTCAGGACTTTTCAGATGCAAGTGGAACAGTATTTAGTAATTAAAAAGTGTTAAAGATGCAAACAAAGAAAAAATAGTTAACCAAAGGGAAAAAGATATCAAATATACAGCTAAAAATAATCTCCATGCCGGAGGAACTCTGAACACTGCCACAAAGGCGAGCTCGGAGCCTCGTCCACACTTCACGCCGATTTTCTCAACCACGGTGCGGTCTGGAACAGGGTTCTTACCTGGGCTTTCTCCGAGCTGTCCTCCTGGTAGCACTTGGGGCACTCCCAGCAGTTCGGCAATTCCTCATTAAGCAGGCCTTCTCCATCCATCTGGAGGTATACAGGGATGTTAAAAAAAAAAAAAAGGCAGTCTCTTCAGTCTCCTTTAATAACAACACAGTGGAGAAACACGCTGGTCTCCAAGGGTAGACTAACACCCACTCCCAGCCACTGGGAGCTTCCCACCCTCCTTCTTGGTTATCCGATCCCAGTTAAGCTGCATGAAGAGAGCTTGTTGGCCTGTGGGCTCCTCTCTGACACAGGTGTTCTACTGAGGGTCTCATGACAACGACACCAGACTTGATCCTGACAGTTGGGCACAGTTATAATTGCTTTGGTTCAGAGACTAATGATCTAGTGTTTTTGTTTTTTTGACAGGCAGAGTGGACAGTGAGAGAGAGACAGACAGAAAGGTCTTCCTTTGCCGTTGGTTCACCCTCCAATGGCCACTGCGGCCGGCACACCGCGCTGATCCGATGGCAGGAGCCAGGTACTTAACCTGGTCTCCCATGGGGTGCAGGGCCCAAGCACTTGGGCCATCCTCCACTGCACTCCCTGGCCACAGCAGAGAGCTGGCCTGGAAGAGGGGCAACCGGGACAGAATCCAGCACCCCGACCGGGACTAGAACCTGGTGTGCCGGCGCCACAAGGCGGAGGATTAGCCTAGTGAGCTGCGGCGCCGGCTGATCTGGTGTTTGACTCAATATTCTCAACTGTAAAATGGGGATACACACAACTGATTATGGTGAAAACAACAGCACTCAGCTTATAGGGCTGTGGTGAGGATTAACTGTATATTATATAAAGCATTAGAAAGTATGTGGCACATATCCTGGTTGCTTTGTATTAATCATCATTATAATCAAGGAGATAATGCTCTCATTAATTCTAAGATGCGCCTTTTTCACATTTTAGTCTTTATAAAATTCGGCTGCTTCTCACAATTGACAATGTCTTATAACCACTGTCAGCCAGGTGGTAGTCATATTTGACTCTTTTTATTTTTTATTTATTTTTTACTTTTTTGACAGGCGGAGTGGACAGTGAGAAAGAGAGACAGAAAGAAAGGTCTTCCTTTGCCGTTGGTTCACCCCCAATGGCCAGTGCAGCCGGCGCACAGCGCTGATCCGAAGCCAGGAGGCAGGTGCTTCTTATGGTCTCCCACGCGGGTGCAGGGCCCAAGGACTCAGGCCATCCTCCACTGCACTCCCAGGCCATAGCAGAGAGCTAGACAGGAAGAGGAGCGACCAGACAGAATCTGGCGCCCCGACGGGGACTAGAACCCGGTGTGCTGGCGCCGCAGGCAAAGGATGAGCCTAGTAAGCCTCGGCACCGGCCCATATTTGATTCTTTCTGACCAAGAAAGTCCCACTACCCATTTAAAAGAGGATTCACAGGGTTGTCTTAAAGGTTAAACAGAGAATATATGTGAAACTGCAGTTCTCTGCCCTGCACACCAGGCTCATAAATAAAAAAAATACATAAGGACCTGCGGGGACCCTTGGGAGCCCAGGTCTCAACTTCTTCATTCCCTTTTTAAAGCCCTCAGCCTGATCCTGAGCATCCATCAAATGCCAGCCGATGTTACTACCCTCACCATCCCTCGTGAACTCATACTCAGAGGTGCACTGAAGTAAGGGTGCGCAGGCTTCAGGCACGATGCTGTAGTTCCATGATGGCCCAGGGAACCCACACAGGATCCACGGGCCAGAGAGTAAACTCCCTGAGGGCCAGGACCAGGTCCACTTTGTGCACTGTTCCATCCGGAGGGTCTGCCAGACAGCCTCCTGAGTCGCAGGCATGTCAGTCAAGGGTTCATGTCAGACTACTCTGGGCAGCGATGGTGGCAGCCTGTACGCCAGGTGCCCCACTCTCTGTGGCTCCACTCAGAATCTCTAGGGCCTCCTCACCTGCAGGCAGCCAGGATGCACGATCTCATTGCAGATACAGCATTCCATGAGTTTCTTCTCAAAGTCCTGTGTCTCCTCATTCTGATCCACCTCTCCACAGAGGGAACATGTGACCGAGTGAGGCAGCCTGGGCTGTAAGAGGAGAAAGACAGGAACCGAGAGCGCAGACTCAGAGCCTTGTCATTCCAGCTTCCCTTTACCTCACGCTGGGAAATCTGGTTCCTGGAAATCTCCAGCAAACACTCGGGGAGCATGCAGACAGGGTGGAGTGAAGAGAGCTTTCTGCTAGGAAAACTCACGGGGGCAGAGGCAGGGGACAACATTCAACTGCATGGGAACTAGAGACAAATAGACTAGTTCATTTTCAGTTGGCCTGTTCTTGGCCTTAATTAAAGAGGGGACAGAGGGCAGTGATTTTCTCTTCAAATGTCCCTGTTTAAAAATTGGGAAAATAAGGCCAACATTTTTTTTTTTTTTTGGACAGGCAGAGTGGATAGTGAGAGAGAGAGACAGAGAGAAAGGTCTTCCTTTTGCCGTTGGTTCACCCTCCAATGGCCGCCACGGCTGGCGCGCTGCAGTTGGTGCACCGCGCTGATCCGAAGGCAGGAGCCAGGTACTTATCCTGGTCTCCCATGGGGTGCAGGGCCCAAGTACTTGGGCCATCCTCCACTGCCTTCCCGGGCCACAGCAGAGAGCTGGCCTGGAAGAGGGGCAACCGGGACAGATTCCGGTGCCCCGACCGGGACTAGAACCCGGTGTGCCGGCACCGCTAGGTGGAGGATTAGCCTAGTGAGCCGCGGCGCCGGCTCAAGGCCAACATATTAATAAGGAAATGTTCATACTAGATCCCTCCCTTCTGCACCAAGGGAGGAGAGGAACAACGTAAAGGGGGCACAGCTCTTCCTCCCCAATGCTACACCTCGGGACTCTACACTGCTGTGTCCAGGCCCTCTGGCATTGCCACCCCGCCCCCAAGTTCTTTACCCAGCAGATCACTCACTGCCAAGCACTGTCGGAGGACACAGGACTGCTTCATGCGTCCAGGCCCCCCGAACTTCTTCATGTCCCTGCAGTAGTGGCAAACACCACACTCTCCTTGCACACAGGCTTTGCATTTTCGACATCGCACTCGTCTCCGCCTGGCTCCTGACACGATAGGGGATGCAGCAGCTGGCCTCACAGGGGTTAAGCGTGGAGCTGGCTTCATAGTGTGAGGCTTTGTGATGGGGATGGTAGGGACCCGCACCTTTGGCCGGGTGGGGAATTTAAGCTGGAAAGAGAAAGCAGTGAGGTCAGCTCTATCAGGTTGCTTTAAGACTGGAGAGGGTAGAAATTACATGGCAGTATACCTAGCCCCAGGCTTGGTGAACTATGGCCTGTGGGCAAATCTGCCCATTGCCTGTTTTTATAAATAATTATAATCGTTTATGTATTGTCTATGGCTTTCAAGCTTCAATGGTAGCATTAAGAAGCTGTGACTTATATGGTTCGCAAAACCTCAAATGTTCACCACCTCAACCTTTACAGAAAAACCTGCCAACCTGTCCTGGCTCTGCAGCCACTTCCTTAGCTGCAGCCTTCCACTTTGCAGAGCTGTGAGGTGGGCCTCACCGAAGCTTTCTGGGGAATGCCAGGCGCCCACGTCACCCTAAAGCCCCTCCAGGATTTCTTCCCAACTATTCAGAATATAGACCTAAACGAGACTGCAAGCCACTTGAGGGTAGCACTGGCCTTGCGCGTTTGTTGAAGTACTCCGAGTCCAAGCATGTAACCTGGTCCATTAAGTGTGGCCCAAATCTCTCAGGTGTGTGTTTGTAATTTTAGCTTTGTATTTACCCTGCTAGTGACCTTTCAAGGACAAGTTCACACCTGGTCATAAACACTTTTCTGACACAAAATCCTCAGCAGTCAGAATGACTGGACTGTTCTGAGGCTTTATGGGGCTTCTCTACCCAGGAAGGGAGAGGTTCTTAGACACTGAGCTCCACTCCTTTATATTCTGCCAGGACACCCTGGAGCAGGATAGCTTTGCATGTTTTAGGTAGGGAACACCAAAGGGAGACCTAATTTATTCCTCAAGTTCATGGCCAGAATCAAAACACTATCATTTATTCCATACATAACCTTGACAGAGGACAATATGAAAATATTATACAAGATGTAAACTGAACGGGCTAGAACTGAACATCTGTAACGGAAAATCTATTAGCTGATGGTAATTCCTTTCTTCTCTTTTCAATTCCATATTGAAAAGTCCCAACTACAGGGACTCTTCAGAACATGGTCTCCCTGTTACAAAAAAAATACCCCTGGACTTTAAATGTGTAAGTAATTACTTTAACTAGTTTTAAACCATAGCTGTGAGAATGATTGTGTCACTGGGTCACAAAGAGAGGAGCTCATCCACTTTGGTGAACAAAGGCAAAACTCACATCTGAATTTAGAGGGAGGCCTCCCAGTTTGACACTTCTATTAAGAAAGTCACCTCCAAAGATGGCCAATTACCCCAACCTAAGAGTCAAAACGAACTGAATCCCGATTTTTCTGTCTGTATTAATGCACCAAAAGCCACCCTGCCTCTAGCTGTTCTTTTTCTTCCCAGAATCGTAGTGATCAACCAGCAAAAAGCTTAATTCAGCAGCCCAAAGACCAAGCGGAACAGCCTTACCTTATCCCTTTTTGGCCACTGCACTATAGGGACTCCAGTGAGGGCTAACTTGGGATCGCTGTTGGCAAGCTCCTCCAGTAAAATCTAGAGTTGGGACAGGAAAGGAGAAAAAAGCAGGCACAGTGAACACGGAGCCAATTCTCCACACCAGCCACAGTCCCTGTAGGACCACGGGCAGAGGAGGGTGGCAGCTGTCTGGGGTTCCCCTTTATACACAGACTCGCCGAAAGGAGTAAATCAAAGAGGAGAGAAAGACTAGCGCAGTCCTATCACGACTTCACACTTAAGCTTTGCCCCACCTCACTACCTGGGCACTGTACTTACACTAGGGCAACTGTTGCCTGTCAGGCAGTTCCACCCATGATAGTAACTCTTCATACTGCCCCTTTCAATTTCCTTAGTAAATTTAACTTGTAAAGTTCTGCCCTCACTTTGCAGATGTGAGCAAACTGGCACAAACTGACTGGCTAATGCTGAATTAATGAGACCAACAGCAGAGCCTTAGCGTCCTGATTCAACCCAGGGCTTCTTGTTCGAAGGCTGATCACAGACATTTCAGTCTCACGTTGTTCTTTCACACTCACAGAGGCAGTTACATACCTTCACTCCTAAAAACGGGGCAGGAACAATCTCCAGGCCACCAGTTCTCACAGATTTAACCAATCAAGTCTGAATGACTTAGGAACAGCGCTACAGAAACTGCCACTGAAGTGGATCATACCGGTTGACTGTTATTTTGAAAGAAACCCTTTATGAAATGTAGACATTTCTGAAGCCCAACCTTCTTCCTCTGACCTCATGAGCCCTAAGGCAAGGCCAACAGTCAGAGAATGGAAATCTGGGAGGTAATTCACACTTGCCTTAGGTGTGTGTAGGGTAGTAACTACTTCAGCAAAAACTAGACTTGGATCCCATACAAGTCAGCACGCCCAGGCCATATTTAACACTCCTTCTCCCCATTCTGTGTTTATGCTGGTGTACTCAACACTGACTAAGGATCCTGCTCCAGATCCTGGAGTGGGGACTCGGAGGGGCCCTCTAACTCATCCCAAGAAGCTTCTCCGGGAAAGAATGCTTGTTGCCAAGTCTCCAGATGCCTCTCACCTTCCCCCAAACTGATTTCATCTGCGACCGTTTTATTTACTTCAAGTTGCTATGGCACCCTATCCTGGAGCCTCCTGCTAACGCCACACTGCGTGGGGGTGAGGAGGCGGGGTGTGGTGCCACGTGGGACCAGGCTCTGATATGGGCTCCTAATCTTCCTGGGGTGAAAAATTCAGGTCCATTCAAAATGTTGTGCTGGGAGTGCAGAGTGCAGGGCTCCCCTCCCCCACGTCGCACTGTGAGGAGTAGGACTCTGCCCATTTCCTCTGCAGGAGAGAACTGAGCTGTCCACAAACAGGGACTTTCCACTCTCAGCAAAACAGGCAACGCAGAAAGACTGGTGATTGTTAAAGAGAGTAGAAAAGGAACTTAACTGTTCACTTAAAAAAAAAAAAAGGCAGTCAAAAATCTACCTGTAAGACCTCTGGGGGAGCAGTACAGGGCAGGCGGAGAGACTGTGGAAGGTGGGGGCAGCTGGTCACGCACACAGGACTCAGTGGCTGGGTAAGTGTGGGTGTGGAGGGAAATGCAGATTTCCTTCCAAGCCTTTTTCGCTGGGGCCATTCAACCAAGCACGCCCTGCTTTCATCAGAAAAGGCAGACTCCAGCTGAGGCCCCACAGAACCATATAAAGAAGCCACCACCCCTCACCAGAGGGGTTTGGGATGGAAGAGCGGGGGTGGAGTGCCGAAAGGCTGCCGCCTACCGAGGCTCCAGGCTTTCGGGAGAGCATTCACACACAGGCCCACACCCCACAGCTCACAGGAAGGGAAACAGAACAGAGGGCGCCTGGGCAGCAGGGGGAAAGGATTCCCGAAAGCCAAGCAACTCCATCCGCAGCACATCCCAACAGGAGGACAAGTGCAGCGCCGGCTCAGGCACCACGAAGTCACACCGCCTCTCCTGGACTCGCCCCACAGGCACTGCTTCTGCCCCTTCGCCAGACAAAGTCCCTACAGTTAACACACTCCCCAAACCAGAAAGGGTTCGCCAACCGACCACCTGACCTTGTGTTTCTGGTCGCTCTGGAGCTGCCGAGGCTCTTGGGTGAAGTTTCCCCAACGTCTTTGTTTTGTTTTCTGTATCAGAAGTTGTGCCGAAGGAGTTAGGTTTTCTGCCTCTAACAAAATCCTGATTTACTTGGAAATTCTGGAATCTCAGAGCACACACGGCAGGGCAGTCTGGCCCTAACCTTTCCGACCAGCCAGAGAGAGCAGCGTGCAGCGCTCTGAGCTCCTTCTCAGCCCTTCAGCTCAGCCGCGGCTTCCTGTGCCTGCGAACAATGCTGCTGCGTCACCCACATGCAGCTCCCAGAAATGCTTTGCAACGGAAGATGGCAGGAGGGGGAGCTGAGCTCGAGCGAGCGAGCCAGGCAAAGGGCCCAGCCGTTCTGCTGCAGAGCCGGCGGGGGTGTGCACGGCGCCTGCTCTCTTCCTCGCGATTGGAGGAGGCCCTGCCGGGGAGGGCACTGAGCTGGCCTCCGCCCCATCTCCCTCCCACCACCACCACCGCAATAGGAGAACCCAGGGCCAGCCCCTGGAGGGCTCCGCTGGCAGACTTCTGAAGGCGCCAGCGAAAGGAAAAGCTTTAACCCATTCAGGGAGCTACACGCTGGCACCCAGGTCCACGTCGGTCCTTGTCTCAGTCCACACCCTTCCCCTCAGGGTCACTCTTATTGTTACAGCCAGTGTTCTCTTGCTGATTGCACACACACTTCTCTCTCTCCTCTCAGGAAACACACTGGATCGCCCACGGTCCAGTCTCCCTGGAGGAGCCATGCATCAGCTCCTCCGGAGTTACCCTCTCTCTCCTGGCACACTGCCTGCTTCACCTGCCCTCACTGACGCCAATGCCAGCCCACAATCCAGAACCAGGCTATGTGTTTCCAGAAAAACCTTCAGAAAGAGCAATTACAGCCAATACCGAGACACAACAGAGGCCTCCTCCGGCTCTAGCAGTCACCACAATATCTGAAATATCTATGGAGCAATCTTTCAGCAGCTCCCTCGTGAGCAAGCCACCAAGTCACACAGCTGAGTACAACCCAAGGTCAAAGCGCTTTGCCTTTGTGCCTCTAAACATGGTGCCGGAAGTCAGAACAAGGCTTTCTCGCAACTCTGGCCAGTCTCTCCTGCCCAGCAGATGGCTCCACACTCAGATACATACTCCAGCACTTCCACTTCTACTCAAGTCTGTTGTGCCCGCCTCATTCTCCACATTCCGTAGATGAAGCAGCCAGCCTCGTATCCAATCAGACACCTCAATGCCCAGACAGTCCCCTGACTGACACTTGTTGCTCACACCTCCAGGTGCTGACCCTCAGCCACGGCGAGGCTCAGCCGGCACACTCTGCAGGCTGCAGAAAGGGGGGGTGCACACACCAGCGGGGCTCTGAGATTTCCATGGCACTGAACCGCAGCACAGCAGACGTTTGAGTTCAAATTTATGTAATCCTTAGATTCTCACAAATACCACTTGGCCTTTTTAGAAATTATAGATGCTACTTTGACACAAATATCTGGCTCTAACTGCTGGAAGCAATGTTGTTTACTTCAGGACAGCTCTCTCAGTGAGTTTCTGGTACAGACTCGGTGTCTAACAGGTCTTCTGGGGCCTGGGCTTGGTTGTTGGGACAAGCACTAACTTTGATAGTGTAGCAGTCTCCAACCCGAGGGGGAGCGCCTGAGCCCTCCTGGAAATGCTGGGACGACCATCCTAACCTGAAACCTCTGTCTAGCACCAAGGCTAAAAGAGCCAGTACAATCATACTTTGAAAAGTTAGTTTTGGTCTTCAGTGCCATGTAACCCAGAGGGATGATAAAATACAACTACTTAAGAGAATCAAAACAAAACACAAGTTCAAGTTGTAGCAAGTGCAAATTCTAGAATCCGCCAGATAAGGGCACTAAGAAACTGCAAGGAAGCTCCCAGATCTCAACTTAAACAAAGCCTCATTTTTCCCCTCTTATTAATTCACAATAAAAGGCAACAAAGAAATAGTAAAAATATGACATAATACAGGAATACAATGAAAATATCTCAAAGAGTTACATACATTTTAACCTAATCTCTACATGCCTCAAAACTCAGATGATTTAATTAAAACTTTCTATTCAGTAAGAATCTGAATTATTACAAATATCTTGCTAGTAAAACCTGCGAATTGGGGGCGGTACTGTGATGTAGTGAGTAAAAGCAGCCGCCTGCAGTGCTGGCATCCCATATGGGTGCTAGTTTGAGTCCTAGCTGCTCTACTTCTGATCTAGCTCTCTGCTGTGGCCTGGGAAAGCAGTAGAAGCTGGCCCAAGTCCTTGGGCCCCTGCACCCATGTGGGAGACCTGGAAGAAGCTTCAGGCTCCTGGCTTCAGATCGGCATGGCTCCAGCCATTGCAGCAATTTGGGGAGTGAACCAGCAGATGGAAGACCTCTCTCGTCTCTGCCTCTAATTCTGCCCTTCAAATAAATAAATAAATCTTTTAAAAACAAACAAACAAAAAACCCTGCAAATGAAGTTTCATTTGCACAGGCTTATCTGGTTTGGTAAGTTAATAGCTGATTAAAAGGGTCTTCCACCAGTTGTTCTTAGTAGCACACTCACCCACAAAGTGATAAAGAAAATTCCTGATCACCCTCTCTATAGCCACCATCTCTCTGCCTCAGTCCCATCATATTGCGATGGAGACGGTGTGAATATTTAGATCCATAGCTATAGCAGAGAGAGACAAAAACCTAACGTATACATCACTACAGAGCACGGTCACTGATCTGAATCATCTACCAGGAAGGTCTATTAGCTGGTGGATTACAACGGTGCCTCTTCTTGCAGGACAGCCCCTGCCACCCCTCCCTCAGTGTCTGCTCTGTGCCCTGCATCACACACAGTACCTGCAGCTGGGTATGTGCTTACTGGTTCCTCACACACAGAGGCAGCTTTATTCATAACAGCGCAATCAATGAATTTCATAGATCTGTAACATCTA